CCCCAAAACCCCAAAACCCCAAAACCCCAAAACCCCAAAACCCCAATATTTGGTTAGTTAATTGAATCATTAAAATTTGCTTACACCAAAAATAAATAAAGCTGCTCAATGAATCTAGGCTAGAAGCCTACCGAGAATGATGGTTTGTATACAAGAAAGAGCATAATTCATATAAATTTATAATATAAAGGGAGCTTAGACAATTTCAACTTTATGAGATCAAGTTAAAGTAATTAGTCACGAATAAGTTGACTTATTTCTCTGCCTTGTTATGCAGGTTGTCCAGCCACTCGATTACAGTCACTGCAAGACTTGTGGTGATGAAATATGTGCTCATTTTTAGTCTCCAGCCTACGAAGAAGCCAAGGACTCCTCCCTTGTTGTAAATTCTCGAAATAGCTTTCTTGATGCCAATCTTTCCAGTATCAGCCTTGGTATGTTTTCCCTCTGCTCTAATTTCTTTCATGTTTTTCTGGATATAAGTCTTGATATTATCGAAAGGCATAGCGACTAAGATCGTAGTACACGTTACACTGAAGGTGCACAATAGCAGTTTGTAGCCAGTGATCATCTCATCTTTAGGGATTTGCCAGTACTTCCTCACTTTGCTCTTGAAGAAAGCATCTGATAGGAGCAGTGAGGTCCATGCTACAATTTGTCTTGCGAAATATGGCGTAAATCCTTTAAAGAGCTCTTTCCTTACATTGCCCTTGATCGTTTTTAAGAAGTCAGAATAGTTTGATTTGGTATTCTGAGAGGTCATGATGAAGACTTGTAATCTCTCGAATGGGGTGATAATACTAGCCTCTACACTTGTGACACTGAGAGATGTCATCATCTTCAGTTTGTATTTGTGTTTATCAAGATCTAGATCGAATAATCTTGAGTAAAATCTTGGCAAGCCTGAGATCAATGGGTATCTATAAGCACTTTTGCAAACCTGCTTTGTGCAATTAGTTAGGATTCCAGAGTAAAATCCAGCGATCCCTTTGGTATTCTTGATCATTCTACCGACTGCTAATTCGTGTTTAAGGTGAGGGTTGGTCTGCCAGTTAGCTTTTAAGACATCTAATGGATGGAGGATGGGATAGACTGCTAAAGTTCCTCCCATTCCAATCAGTGAACTTAACCCTGCTAGCTTCAATCCTTTCTTCTGTGGGGATTTAGACTCTTGGGCTGAACTGTTAGTAGCCATTTCCTTTAAACTAAAAATTTATTATTGGTCCTCAGTTATTCTTCTAGTAATCGGGGTTTTGGGGTTTTGGGGTTTTGGGGTTTTGGGGTTTTGGGG